TGCTGGGATTACAGGTGTGAGCCACCGTGCCCAGCCCTGATTTTTTTCTTAATGTTGGATTCAAGTTACGTATTTTTTGGCAGGGATACCACAAAAAAGATGTGCCTTTCTCAGTAGGAGGTATCAAGAGGCATATGATGTCATTTGGCCCCAACTGCTATTAACTTTGATCACTTGGTAAGGTGTTTTCTGCCAAGTTTCTCCATTGTAAAGTTACTTTTTTTCCTTTGTAATCAGTATCTTGTGAAGAGTTTGAGACTGTGTAAAATATTATACTTTCACTTGCTAATTTTAGCATCTAGTGATGATGTTTGCCTGAATCATATTACTGTGGGGTTACTAGACGGTGATTTTCTACCACTATCACTCATTTTGTGTATTAGTTGAACTTCTACTGTGAGAAAGAGCTTCCCCTTCTCACCTTTGGTCCTCTACTCATTTATTATATCATTGTAGACAAATGGATGATTTTATTTTATAGGCTCTAATCCATTCTTATCATTATTTATTTTATTGCTCAAATTATGGAAATATTTTGTAAAATATAAATGCATAATTTTGGATAAGTTGCAAATTTGGATGTTTTTTCCTTCTGGTTCTTCATCCTGACATACTTCTTATGATTTTATATTCCCTTATAGGTGTGAGCTCACTTATTAATCTCTTGAGTTCAGCCCAAGATGAAGACCAGCCAAAACTGAACATTTTGTTATGTGAAGCTGTTGTTGCTGTTTACTTAAGTTTATTGATACATGCTCTTGCTACAAATTCCTCCAATGAATTATTTCGGCTTGCAGCCCACCCATTAAATAATCGAATGTGGGCTGCTGTTTTTGGAGGCGGTGTAAAACTTGTTGTGAAACCTCGAAGACAATCAGAAAATATTTCAGGTAAGATAAGTTTGATACCAGTAATGTATGTAAATGTTAATAATTTTGAATGTTAAAATTTTTTAATGTTTTAAGAAATTTCACTTTGAAAATAAGCGATGCTTAAAGCATAACCACTCTTGTTATGACAGCAAATAATTAAACCCATGATATAATAAAAATATAGTTTGTTACTTTTATTTTTATAGAAATAATGTTTTTGAGGTTGATAAAGCAGGACATGTTTGAAGAAGATTAAAAATAGAGGAAAGGTTAAAAGGTAAATACAGAAACAATGTTAAGGAACAAAGTCATACAAAAAGGATAGTTCCTAAGAAAATAAAATGAAAACAAAAACAAAAAGGATAGTTCTTAATTACAGAAAGAAAATTTAAATAAGTGTTCAAAATCTTTAGCGCATACCAGCATTTGGCTTCAGATTAAATGTATGGTCATGTGCAAGATAGCCATTCTGATCATACACATGGTTTCAAAATTCTATTTTATTTTTATTCTCTAAAATATGTTCCCTTAGTCTTCAATGTGATAGTATTATTTCATTTTCCTTGTGTGTTTTTTCTTCCCTCATGGACCAGAATATATTTTTCATCCCACTTTTGAAGATGGTAGGATATGGTGAGGGTATAGACTGATGCCACAGGAAAGATTTCTATCTTGATGCTCATATATAGAAATCATCTTAATTCATCCTTAGAAATGGACATATTACAGATGAGGAATCAGTGACACACAAGTTTAAATGACACTAACCTCTGTCTTCATTGTCTGTGATTGAGTTAAATAAATAGGTTCCTGTGTAAGTCATTGTAAGGGAGATGATCTCATCAACTCCCACTGCTTCCATTCCTCTGAATCTCTTTCTTGCTGCTTGGTTGTAGTCCACTTTAAACTTAAAAGTGTTTCCTCAAAATTGTTTATTTCTCTGCCTGAGTTTTCTGATTTTTTGTTCGTGGTAATTTATCCATCAAATCATCCATGCTTAAAACCTGCCAGTACATATTTATATTTGCATTAATTTATTCACTTAACACCTATCAGGCAATTAACAAATGATATTTCAGGTATGATAAGAACTGTGATAAAAACGGAGTAAGTGGAAAGAGAGTGATGAGGGAATGGGAATAGACCAGTTTAGTTAAGGAGGTTGGAAGACATGTTTCTGATGAGATAGTATTTGGGCAGAGCTGTAAGGAAGTTAGGAGTCACACCATGTGGATATCTGAGACCAGAGCATTCCAGGCAGATGAATGCAAAGGTCCCGAGGTAGAATTGAGTTTGGCCTTTTCCAAGAACTACCCGGGGACCATCATGGCTCTCGTGAAGAGGGGGAGTGTTGTAGGAGATGAGAATAGAAAAGTTGCGGGAATAAGGTCCTTTAGGATCATGGTAAAAGTGTTAGTTGTTCTAAAGAAAGAAAGGAGTGACATAATCTGATTCACCTTTTCAAAAGAACCGCTCTAGCTGCTTTGTGGAGAATAGACTGGGTAACATAAATAAGAGTAGGGAGCCTGGTAGTGGGGAGCCTAGTCCACTTAAAAGATAATTGTGGGTTACCATCAAGGATGAAAGGATCTACAAAGTATGGTATATACGTGCAGTGCAGTGTTACTCAGCTATAAAAGGAATGAAGTACTAATGCATACTATAATCTGTATGAACTTCAAAAATAGGCTAAGCCAAAGAAGCCAGACACAAAAAGTCTCATATTGTCTGGTTCCATTTATATGAAATATCCAGAATAGGTAAATCCATAGAGACAGAAAGTAGATTTGGTTGTCATGGGCTAGTGGGAGGGAGAAATAAGGAGTGACTGCTTATTGGATATAGGGTTTCCTTTTGGGGTGAGAAGAATGCTTTGGAACTAGATAGAGGTGGTGGTTGCATGACATGTTAAATGTACTAAATGTCACTGAATTGTACACGTTAAAATTGTTAATTTTATGTTGTGTAAATTTTGCCTCAATTAAAAAATAATAGTGATTTATCCTAGGGTGTTAGTTATGGTCAGAATGAAAAGTGATCATATTCTGGATATAGTTTGAGGTTAGAGCCAATGATTTGTTGATGAATTGTGTGGGGTAGGGAAGAAAGAAGAGTTGAGATAAAATTATTTTCTGTGATGGGGAGGTTTAAGGAGAGGAGCAGGTTAACTTCTACTTTCTCGCCCTCTCATATCCAATTCCTGAATCCTTTTGCTATTTCTTTTGTGTATCACTCATATGCAACCCTTCTACTTTTTACCACCCACCATATTAGTGCAGGCCGTTCTTATGTCATCTTCCATCTTCCTCTCTAATTGATCAGACAAGCCATACTTCATTATGTGACTAAAGCTTAAGAAGTGTTAGTGAGAACTGCCCAAAACACAAGTTCCCGGCTTCATAGCCACAGACTTGTCCTAACCTAACTCTGGACTTTGTTGTCGATATTACTTCCCTCCATAACTCCTGTCTACCAAAAATAATTGACTCCTCATTTACCCAAACCTTTGATTATTTGTTTATGTTGCCCTTTTCCATTTTCCCATTGAACTTTCGCCCTTCTTTTAAGGCACACTATTAAATTCTACATAGTCAGTGAATCTTTCTTGAACCTCATAGCCAGGGGTAATCAGTCAATCACTCACTTTAATATTTATTGAATATACCACTTATTTAGTATATTTTATATAGAATTACTTTAATCCGTATTTTATGGAGCACATTGCAAGATATGCTTTAATGCTTTATCTCCGTCTGCATCTCTGCCTTGACTGCTGGAAAGCTGATTCAGTAACTAGAAAAGTTTAGAAGCACAGGAATAAGTAATTTAGTCTAGACCAAAACATGGCAAGAGTAGGATAAAAAGAAAGCTTAACTCTATCAATTAACAATGGAAAATGAATGCTAGATTTTTTTTCCTTCTGTCTTCATTTAGCACCTCCTGTCCTTTCTGAAGACATAGATAAACACCGTAGGAGATTTAACATGCGAATGCTTGTCCCTGGAAGGCCTGTAAAAGATGCTACCCCACCACCGGTGCCTGCAGAAAGACCATCTTACAAAGAAAAATTTATTCCTCCTGAACTTAGTATGTGGGATTATTTTGTTGCAAAGGTAAGGAGTGTGAGGAATGCAAGCTATAAGATAAGTGTATCATCTATTTTATTAACTCTTGCATGTGTCTCACATAGGAATGATGGGGTAGCTTTTGGATTGAATCACCATAGTTTAGACATTTAATTTATTAAGTCCAGAAACTGAATAGTCATAGTAAATTTAAGGATGATCAGTTACTTGATGATGTAGGAGACAACTTAAAATCACATGGGAGTTGGGTATAAATCAGAAGTCAGGTTATTATATAATCAGCACTATCTTTTTCTAGTGACTGGAATACTTGTAGCTACCATCTAGGCACCTGCCTTCTAATTATCAGTGGCTCCCTTGGTAAGCATGGGATTAGAATAGAAGGAGATGGATGGACATTTGAGGGTTTTATCAGGCCATGATGAGGCCCCATGATACATCTCTGTTTTCCCAGAGCAAAGGAAACTTCTCAGGGGATCAGAATACTCATGGTGACTAGATCTGGTATAGCCCCATTTTATACCATCTTGGGTGCATGCTAATATTCGCTTTTCTGCACTTTGCTTTTTTGAGCTCATGATTCTCCTTCTATTGGTATGTTTCCCTCTTTACATGTGTTAACTCTGTTGTCACCTTGCTGTGCGTACATATTAGGGAATACATCTCCAGAGTGATGCCTCTTCCCATTTTTAGATTTTTATTAGATCTCAGAGTTATTGAGGTGCTGATCCCATTCCGTTTTTTGTATGCTAAGAAGCTGATCCTTAAAAAGTCTTTCAACGTGAGTTTAGAAGCTTTGTTTTGTTATCTAAAGACTTTGAGGCCAGGTGCAGTGGCTCATACCTGTAACCTCAGCACTTTGGGAGGCCAAGGTAGAAGGATGCTTACATCCAGGAGTTTGAGACCAGCCTGGACAACGCAGACCATGTCTCTACCAAAAAAATTTTAAAACATAGGTGCAGTGGTATGTGCCTGTAGTCCTAGCTGTTTGAAAGGCTGAGGTGAGAGGATTGCTTGAGCCCAGGAGGTCAAGGTTGCAGTGAGCCATGATTGTGCCACTGCACGCCAGCCTGGGTGTCGGACTGAGACAGTGTCTCAAAAAAAAAAAAAAAAAAAAAAGACTTTGGTTATGTTAGTGGGTCTCAAAGTGTGGTCTCAGAACCGGCAGCATCAGCATTGCTTGGGACCTTGTTTGAATTGCAAATTCTTGGGTCCTCCCTCAGACCCCTCAATCAGAAACTCTGTGAGTGAGAAACAACAATCTGTGTCTTAACAAGCTCTCCAGATGGTTCTAATGTGTGCTAAAGTTTGAGAACTACGGGGTTAGGCACATTGTGAGTGCAGATTTCCAGGTTTACACTCTGTCAGGGTCCAAGTTATACTTCCAGAGTCATTCTGGCCTATCCCTTAAGGCTGCCAATTGAGTTGCACTTAATTGTATTTAGCTAATAAACCAGGGAAGTAATAAAGTACTCTTAAAAATGTATAGGCAGTTCCCACTCCTACCTTTTTAAACTTTTTATTTGCCATGAATGAAAGCTCATTGCATCATTAATGTGAGTTATAACAATGTTAAGATTTGTAAATGGTAATGTGCTAAATTAATTTTTGTTGTTCAAAAATGTTTCCTCCTGATACATATTTTGAAAATTTGGAAAATGCAAAATATTATAAAGAAGGGAAATAACACTCATCTATGCAATAACTGTTACTGTTTTGGCCAATTTACTTCTAATCTTTTTTCCTCAGATTAAAAAAGGTATATAATTGGATCAGTATATGTAGTTTTTTTCTGTTAACATTAAGGTAAACAGTTTTTATACCATTAAAAACTTACATAGCTATCATTTTTAAAACTTTAGTGTAGAAAGCTTCCAACATACACAAAAGGAGAGGTAATGGCATATGAATCTTTTATCTACCATCATGTAGCTTCAAAAATTATCTATTCATGGACAGTCTTGTTTCATTTTATACCTCACCCCACTACTTGATTGTTTGGAAGCAAATCCACCATGAAATTTCATTCAAAAATATTTCAGTATTTGTTTTTGAAAAAAAGAGGATTTTAAACAGATCTACAGTAGTGTTACACCCACTGAAGCACACTCACAATTCTTTAATATTATCACATATTCAGACAGTATTCACATTTCACCAATTGCATCTTAAATGTTTTTATATAGTTTATTTGTTCAAATCAGGATCTAAAATACAATTCATACCTTGCAAGTGGTTGCTACATCTTCAGTCTCTGTTAATCTATAGGCTCCACCTCCATCTCTCTCTCTCTCTCTTTTTTTTTTTTTTTTTAAACTTAACTCCCACCTTTTTTGTTTGCCCTGAAAGAATTTTGACGTTTAGAATTTTTCAACGGATTTTGCCGATGGCATCACCATATTTTGTTCCTCTGAATCTTGTAAAGTGAAAGTTAAATCCAATTTCATTCTGATTGGATAGGAAGAGGGAGTGCAGGATTAACTTCATCGGTGGTTTTGTATATTTCTGTCAGGAAGCTTTTTATGATTTTAGTTGATCTTTGCCTACATTTTTGTATGTTCAGGTGGAAAGCTTATAAATTTTTGATGATTAAATATCCTGTCATTGATTTTTCATCTATTTGCTGGAATGTTCTCTTCATCAACCTATTCAGTTACCCTGAAGTACATTTTGAGTTGGAAAGACATGATAAATGCTTTATTCTTTGCTTTTGTGTGACCAGTTTTCAAAATGATGAGTTGGTTCCCAAGCATCCTTCAGAGAGGCCAGTGAGTTTGTGTTCACTTTCAGTTTTGTTATGAGCTTATAGATTTAAACATATGTTATATGTTTTAATCCATTGCAGTTATTTTTCTCATGGGGCCTCAGATTATCCATCTTTGCCAGTGGAGACCGAGCCTTTTCCACAGTTGGGCTCCAAATCTTTTTGAGATTATTCCACTAGTTGTTGAGTTTGTCTGCTTTCTAGTTTTATTCTAGGCTAATCATGTGTATTTCCTGCCCGTGACTGAGAACAAGCTTTTTTTTTTTTTTAAATAACCGTGTCCTTTTTTGTGAGAAATTATATTTAGAAATTACAGTCAGATGCTGGGGTGCTCACTCTCACTTTGGTTGATCATTGCCTTCTAGATAAGCGTCAAATAGTGACCATGTAACTTTTCACTTTGATGAATACACTGTAGTTTACCTAATTAGCGATTTGATGTTTATAATGCCAAGAACAGTATCTTTTAAGATACATTTGTTCATGAGCAGATTATTTCCTTAAGAAGTACTAGTCAGGCTGGTATGGCGGCTCACACCTGTAATCCCAACACTTTGGGAGGCCGAGGTGGGTGGATCACGAGGTCAGGAGATCAAGACCATCCTGGCTAACACGGTGAAACCCCATCTCTACTAAAAATACAAAAAATTAGCTGGGTGTGGTGGTGGGCGCCTGTGTAGTTCCCAGCTACTCGGGAGGCTGATGCAGAAGAATGGCGTGAACCTGGAGGTGGAACTTGGCAGTGAGCCGAGATCGCACCACTGCACTCCAGCCTGGGTGACAGAGAGAGACTCCGTCTCAAAAAAAAAAAAAAAAAAAAAGAAGTACTAGGTCAAAGGTTATAAACTTAAATAAGGCTTTTAATACGTATTGCCAGATTATTTTCCACATTACTAATTTGTTCTCTCTTGAGGAATAGTGAGAGGAGGCATCTGACCTTAGTCCTTATTGCATTAAGTATTCCTTTTTCATTTTTGTTAATTTGATAGATTAAATGAATTTGTATTTTTCTGTTAGTGACATTAAAAGTTTAATGTCTTATTGCCATTTGATTTTCCCAGTTTGAGGTATTGACTGTTCATATTCTTACCTAAATATCTATTGAGATATGGCGTTTTTCCTTTTTATGGATACTTTTATTTATCTAGGATATTAATTTATCTTGTTAAACTTTTTCTAGTTTATTTTGCTTTAAAATTTTGTGTTATTATGCATCTTGAAGTTTTAAAAAGTTTACCATGCACAGAAAATTTTAAAAAGTTTAAAACTTAAGACTCAGCCATACATTTTCCTTATTGATTACATTTTTTAAGCAGGAAGTCTTTTCCACTAATAAATGTTTACATGTTATTTTACCTTCCTTCTCTGTTTCCTCCTGTTCTTTCTCTTTCTTCTCGCTCCGGTAACTCTTGAATTCTCTTATTTATCTAGAATAAAGTGAGGAACAGACTGGATCGGACTTCATCTCCCATCCCCACACTTAGCTAACTAGTTGTTCCATTATTATTCATTAAATAATCCTTCCTTTTCTCCCGCTGACTTAAGATGTTATCTTTATCAGATTAAATTCTTACACGTATATGATTTTTGCATTATATTTTTGTATCAATTGCTAGACTACATTTTTCTTACTTAGTTTAATATCCACTAAAAAAAAAAATGGGATTTTTTTATTTAAAAAAAATTCCCCAGCTGATCTCATCTATTTTTTCTTCTCTAAGAACTTCAGAATCATTTTAAAGTTCCAAAATAGGAAGAGAAATTCCCAGGGGGATTTTTATTGAAATTATTTAAAGCCTATGTAAATTAACTTACAAAGAATTACAGTTTTTACACATTTCAGTCCTTCCCATTATATAATTTTATAAAGGTTTATAATTTCCTTCACAAAGCTGTCTCACAGCTTTCACAGTTGTCCTTTTGTATTTCTTTAGACTTTTCTAACTTTTTTATTGCTGATCTACAAGAAGAAAACTATTGATTTTAAACACATTTCATATCTAGCTATTCAGTTACTGAGTCTGAGAGTTTTACCTAGTCATCTTGACTTTTGTAAATGTAGCATCATCTGCAAAAGAAAATTTTTACTTATGCTGACACCATTTAAAATGTTTACTTTTATGTTAGAGCAAAAATAATTATATACTAAAAACATTTTCTATAAAATATATAATACATAAATTATATAGTTAAAATATATTTTATATGTTTATAAAATTATAATCTTTAAAAAAATAACTTTATCTTTTATTGCAGCCATTTCTTCCTTTGTCCGATAGTGGTGTTATATATGATTCTGATGAAAGCATTCATAGTGATGAGGAAGATGATGCCTTTTTTTCAGATACACAAATACAGGAGCATCAAGATCCAAATTCCTATAGGTAAATAAGACTTTTCTTTTCTTTCTTTTTTTTTTTTGGCTTCTTTTTGTAGAAAATCCCAGTGTTATTAATTTTAAATAACATTATCATCCTGAATTTATATAAGAAATGACTTACGTTTCCAGGTAACAAATTCTGCACCTTTGAGGTCAATTTCTCCATAATATTTTCTCCACCTCCAAAGACTAGCTTTCATGGAGAATGCAAACACAAGCATTTTTAGTGAGGAAAAAATATGTAACTCATGGATATACTATTAGAATTTAATATATAATTTATTGGTATACTATTAGGTTCCATGTGACTATGTGGTAAATCTTTTTCCATGAGGTAATTTTCAGCAAGTGTAATATGGTATTGCAAGTTTTTTATATTCAGTGACCACAAAGCTGTCATTTTTGCATAGTAAATTTCAATGACAGCTTTTTTTCTGGTTGGAGAGTGGGCTAAACAGTTGGCAGGGAACACCACTCTGTTTCTCCCATGATTTTGTTTTTCACTTAAAGACTTTTTTGCTCCTTCTTGAACAGCTGGGCTCTTCTACATTTGACAATGGTTAAGCTAGCACTTCACAATGTCAAGAATTTCTTTCCTATTGCTGGACTGGAATTCTCTGGTGAGTTTGGAATTTAAAAATTAATGTTATTAAATATAATAAATTGCCGTCAACTTTCTCTTTACAGAATCTATATAAAAGGTCCTTTGGCACTTAAAAACAGTGCATTAGATATTTTATAAAGTCTTGTTTATTTTAGGCTCCAATCTGTGACTTTATTTTTAGTTTTTTAGATAGAGTCTTGCTCTGTTGCCCAGGCTGTATTGCAGTGGTACGCTCACTGCCAACTCTGCCTTGTAGGCTCAAGCCATCCTCCCACCTCAGTCTCCTGAGTAGCTGGGACTATAGATGTGCCACCATGCTGGGCTAATTTTTGTCTTTTTTGTAGAGAAAAGGTTTCACCACGTTACCCAGGCTGGTCTTGAACTCCTGGGCTCAAACGATCCACCTGCCTTGGCCTCCGAAAGTGCTGAGATTACAGGTGTGAGCCACCACACCTGGCTTTAGTCTAATACTTTAGTTTATATCAAGAATCACTCTCTACACAGAAGATGGAGAAAGAGCAGAAACCCACTTCTGTTTTGTTGAAAGCATTAAGAATCTAAACTGTATTACGTTAACATTTCCAGATTTATTTGTATTTTCAGAGGTTTTGTCTCAGAATTCAGATTCTATAAATATTTGGATGATAATCAGTATTTTTTATTAAAATAAATAACGTGTTCTGTCACCTTGTAGAGCTGCCTGTTACATCACCATTAGGTATTGCTGTGATTAAAAACTTGGAGAACTGGGAACAGATCTTGCAAGAGAAAATGGATCAGTTTGAAGGTCCACCCGCTAACTATATCAACACATACCCAACTGACCTTTCAGTGGGAGCTGGACCAGCTATTCTTCGAAATAAAGCAATGCTAGAACCTGAAAATACCCCATTCAAGTAAGAAAGCTCTTATAATGCTGATAAAGAGTATAGCTTAACTTTTCTGGAAGACAGTTTGGCTAAATATGCCAATATACTTTAAAACATTCATAATTTTGAACCTGCAGTCCTATTTTTAGCAGAATACCCTAAGAAAAATATCAGAAATTTGAATAGAATTTTTTCCCAGTATTATCTATAATTCATAGACATTCCATTTACATAAAGGAAAAATTCTTTATTGTATTAATTTCTGGTGTGGTGTTTTTTGTTTTTTTGTTTTTTTGAGACAGGGTCTCACTGTGTCTCCTAGGATGGAGTACAGTGGTGCAATCTCAGCTCACTGCAGCCTCAACCTCCTGGTTAACCCATCCTTTCACCTCTGCCTCCCGAGTAGCTGGAACTAGTGGCGAGTGCCGTTGCACCTGGCTAATTTTTTTTGTATTTTTTGGAGAGACGGGGTTTCACCATGTTGCCCACGCTGAGACGGGGTTTCACCATGTTGCCCACGCTGGTCTCAAACTCCTGGGCTCAAGCAGTCCCCCAGCTTGGCCTCCCAAAGTGCTGGGATTACAGGCATGCACCACTGCACACGGCATATGTGTGTTCTTATTGTCAGAACTCTTACAGAATTTTTTTTCTAACAATCTATATATGCAAATAAGGTGCTTCTGGCTTTTGTCAGTAATTTAACAGTAAACACATTACAGGTTTTTAACTGATGTTTTGATCTTCTGCCTGCCCATGTACGTCCCTTTTGATAAGCAGCATGCTTTTTTTTTTTTTTGAGATAGTGGACCCTGATTAATAGTATTTACTATTAAAATAAGGTTAAAAGAACAAAGCTTTTTAGCTTGTTAGGCTGTTAGAATTGATATCTATGACTTATATTCATTGCCGATATGCTCTAACCAAGAGAACCAACATAAAGTATAATTTAAAAAGAGAATAATAATTTGTCAGCTTAAGTGGTTCATTTAGTGTGATTAGAGAATTAGTTGCTAGATGAAATGATTTTTAGGAGAACTAAAAATTAAAAGTAAACTGTACAGTTTTGTTGAGCTTAATGCTGTGTCTTCTTTGCAATAGATTGTGAAGGTTTTAAAAATAAATATCTACAAATATAAACATATTTTCTATAGACTAAAATAGTGTGATATGTTAATTTTTTTTAATAGGTCCCGGGATTCTTCTGCATTTCCAGTCAAACGACTTTGGCATTTCCTTGTTAAACAAGAAGTCCTTCAAGAGACATTTATTAGATATATTTTCACTAAGAAAAGAAAGCAGAGTGAGGTATTTTGAGAAAAATATTTTCTATTGTAATTTTTCTTTAACATTTCTAAGGAAATCAGTGCTCGATTTATTCTGAAATTTTCTTTCTGGTTGGGTAATAGTCAAAGTTCACTAAACTACCGTGAACTAGTTTTAAGATAAAACCTTATTATTTTCATTTCATAGCAATGAAGCAACATAGGTACTTTGATAAATTACATATATTCAAGTGAAAGTTGGTACTTTATAGTATTTGTCATTAGGTTTTTACATGTAATAAACATTGTGATGGATGGTTTGAGGAATTTAATATATAAACTTACTCTATAATATTCTCCAAATATGTGTTTAAAATATAAAATAGCCCTTTAAAGGCATTTTATTTACTTAGCACTTAGAAATGAACAGAATGAAGATTTGAAGCAACACATTCAGGATACTTTTGTGAGAGAATAAACTACAGAAATAGCAAATACAAGATGAAGGAAGATTGCTCTTACATAGCAAGGCAGAGGTTCTGCATTGCATGATTATTTTTAAGTTAATACAAATGTAATAGCAGACATGGTTCAAGAAGAACCAGCAGTTTGGGAGATTGGCAGATGACCTCTTCCTTATAAAAGTAGGACCTTTTATATGAGCATTTCAGTCTGTTTGGCTATTTAATGAGGTAATGGAGCAGTTTGAAGAGTGTTCAGAGTTGAGTGTCTGATGCAATTAAAAGTTTGGCAAACATGGCCAGGCATGGTGGCTCATGTCTGTAATCCCAACACTTCAGGAGGCTGAGGCAGGCAGATCACCTGAAGTCAGGAGTTCGTGACCAGCATTACCAACATGGAGAAACCCCATCTCTACTAAAAATACAAAAGATTAGCTGGGTGTGGTGGCACATGCCTGTAATCCCAGCTACTTGGGAGGCTGAGGTAAGAGAATGCTTGAACCCGGGAGGCAGAGGTTGCGGTGAGCCAAGATCGTGCCATTGCACTCCAGCCTGGGCAACAAGAGCCAAACTCCGTCTCAAAAAAAAAAAAAAAGATTTTGCAAACACAATCAATGAGAAGAAATGAATTATATTTTACTTAGAAAAGTGAAAACAGAGTCCATATGGCTCAGTTTCCCAAGATTAAAAGTATAAAACTGCTTCTCAGTTTTTCCTCATGCCTAGGGCAGTGGAACCTACCATACTTGTTCTTTTTCCCACTTACCCACTTACCTGAATGGTAATTGTGGTCAACCCTTATGAACAGTCATTTGTTTTCTCTGTGGATTAAAAAATTATGTACTTAGGAAATAGAAGAATGAACTGTAGAGACCTTTTGAGTCCTAGTTATAAAGCTTTTTCATAACAAAAGACCCTTATGGCATTGAAATTACTGATGTGAGCTTTGTTAGGGAAATCAGAGGCAAATTATTTGCCTCTTTCATTTAAACCACTATGTATAGCATTTCCTATAGTGATCCTGAGTCCAAATTCCATAAACTAAGATATAAGAATCTAAGATAGTGATTTGAAATAAAAGATTTTAGCCAGGCACAGTGGCTCACACCTGTAATCCTAGCACTAGGCGTGGGATCTCCTGAGTTCAGGAGTTTGAGACTAGGCTGGGCAACATGGTGAAACCCTGTCTCTACAAAAAATACAAAACAATTATCCAGGTGTGATGGTGTATGCTTGTAATCCTAGCTACTTGCAGGGCTGAGGCAGGAGGATTGCTTGAGCCCGGGAGGTGGAGGTTGTAGTGTGCTGAGATCACACACCACTGCACTCCAGCCTGGGTAACAAAGTGAGACCCTGTCTTAATAAGATTTCTGGTCAATTAGGGGCTCTGTTCACAGAAAACCAGTTCATTGAGTGATCAATTTTCTGAGTGTTTTATTCTTCAAATGATTAAAATTAAAGATTGATCACAAGTATGTTTTAAATATTGGTAAAGTTGATAGCAGCTTGATTGGTTGACTTCTCAGAGTGTAGAGTGCTGTGGGAAGCCAGGTGTCTGGGTTTCTTGGACCCTCCCATTCTTGTTTTGCCCTTCCCCACTAGTTTGCTTCTTCCTTAACTAATTCTCCCCCTCTCCACCCCTTAGTCTCTGTGTGTTTCCTATTTTTCTTCCAGCAGTGGTCCCACGAACAGGGAAGTAGGACAGAGATAAATGGAATGTTTCTTAAAGTGCTATATAAGCAACTGGGAGTTAGGATGGAAGAATTTTTATCATGTACCTTTTTAATTTTAAAACAATGGAATTACTGTCTTTCTGGTACTGTCCCATAGAACTTCCTGTGATGATGGAAATCTGTATCTGCGTAGTCCAACATAGTAGTCACCAGCCACATGTGGTTACTGAGTACTTGAAGTGTGGCTAGTGTGACTGAGAAACAATTTTAAATTTTAATCTAAATGGTTACAATTAATCTAAATAGTTACGTATGGTTAGTGATTGCTGTTTTGAATAGCACAGATCTGAAAAAAGGGTGTTTTCATTAAGAAAAATATTATGAATAAAATGTTAATGCTGCTGGACAAAATAAAAACTTGTCGCTAGCTTCAGAAATATGCAAAAGTTATTAAAACTACTCAATCCAGTAAGAGTGCTTAAATCTTTAAAATTGTCAGATAGAATTTTGGTAATCACTAAATTTGGCAAATTCAGAAAATTGACCAATAAAATTGGCAGATTAATCCTAAAAATGCTGGATGCATTTTTAAAAAATCCCTAAGAAATGAAGTTATAGATACATTTATAAGAATAAGATCTTTTACTCACTGAAGATATCAAAGAAAAATATTTCACAAAACAAGTGTTTGGGAAACAGATTGGTGAATTTGGCTAGTTAAGACAAATAGATTCTCCAGCAGTTTGGCCTTCACTGAGTTAGCCGTGCCACACATTGACCATTCCTTGGAAGTGTTCTTGGATACATCTTTATCAGCCACAGCAGCCATAGGGGAGTCCCTGGAGGCACGGTCAGAAATTTTGAATGGCCCTTCATGATGAAAGGGAGGCAGTCACCTGAAAAGGTATGAGGAAGAGTTTGTTTCTCTGATCAAACCTTCAGAGTTTCCACAGCAGAGCAGAAGTATGACTACCGATTACAGCCATCCTTAGGACCCCACATTAACCTGGGAGCAAATCACTGAGTGATTTCTTTTCCATGTCTGATTTTATTAAACATTTATTTACTTAGAGAAAAATCATGTGATTAGTCATATTCCTTATAAGAGTAAAATAATTATCAGAATTTTGAATCTATGTTTAGAAATAAATATTTTAATTTATATTTGAAATCCACCCCTGTAGGGCAGGAATTTATATAGCATCTTGTGTATCTGCTTATACAAGTGGGCTTTAATTTTTTAGATTACCAGTTATGTAACTTAAATTTCTTAAAACTGTATACAGATAACTAATTTTTATTTTGAAATAGTTTTTATGTTCTTGTGTATATGTAATAGTTACATTAATTTTGCTCTTTTGGCTTTGTGTTGTGTTTATTTGATGACTGTTTTATTCAGTTTAATTTCTTGATTTTGCAAATTCATTTTCATCATCTTTAAGTGGTGGAGTGGCCATTTCAGCTTGAAATATTTCACTGTCTTTATAATTTCATTCCATGCATGTGTTTTGTGTTTGTGACGGTGTGGTGGTATTTAGTCTATAGAAGAACATGTGGAGCAGGTCAACCAAAACTGCGTAGCAGAAGATTGCCACATCAAGGTAGTATTCCAAGATCTTGTATTTAGCTCATTCTTTAAAGTTCAAGGAGCTAACGTCTCATCTCTGATACTAACCATGACCTGCCCAACTGGCTAACTACTCAGAGAACTCGTAGTACTCCCATACCACTTCAGTGGTACAGGGGAGGAGATGCTTCACTGTATCTGGCTTGCTCTGTCTTGCCCTTGGTTCTTGTCTTTCTTGCTCCCTATTCCATCTTCACTTCTGTCACATTTTCTGTTTTAAGCATGGCTGTTTCATCTTTCCTTCTCGATTCTGCCTTTTCTTTCCTTGCCATCACAAACCCTAAGCCATTGCACCGTCCTCTCATCAGTCTCTTTTATTCCTTTCAAACTATCCCTCTTTCCAACTTTTCCTTATTTCTGTCTCATCACCCTTACTTCAAAGGGTGGTTTCTTTTTGGTTTTTCTATGGTTTTTACTCCACTCTGTGCCTCTTAATGTATGCAAATTCTTATTGCAGAATGTGCACTTTTGGAAGAGCTAAGAGAGACATAAATTACTAATAAAAATTACTAATAAAAATATATTAGCCATCTTTTATAATTAATCAGTATCTTACCATCACAATGGAAATTGGGGTGATTACAGGACATCAGAGAATTTAAGCAAATTTTCCAAAGCTAGTTTTCAACACATAAAAGTTACTCTTACCCTTTTTTATCGCTGCTGCTGCTACATTTTCTTCTTATCCTGCTTTCAAATCTTATGAGATGTGCATAACTCTAAATAGAGCTGTGCTGCCGCAACTAAAACTGCTGATTAATGTTTTCTAGGTTGAAGCTGATCTGGGCTATCCAGGTGGAAAAGCGAAAGTCATTCATAAGGAATCTGATATGATCATGGCATTTTCTGTTAATAAGGTAAAAGCTATCATCATTATAAACAATGTATTTCTCTTCAGTGAAATTGCTTAAATCATTGACTCTGCCTTTGCTTTATAGGCAAATTACAATGAAATTGTTTTGGCTTCAACACATGATGTTCAAGAACTTGATGTTACTTCTCTACTGGCCTGTCAGTCATATATATGGATCGGAGAAGAGTATGACAGAGAATCCAAAAGGTGTCTCATAGTCACTTTTACATATAGTTTTCTGTAAGAAGTACCCACTAAATGGTTATGCACATGATTTGAATTATTTCAAAAGGTATACATGTATCTCTCTCTTCATTTGAGTAGGTGACAAATATAATTGGTTTAGCTGCCAATGAAAGTCTTTGCCTACATTAACCGAATAAATTATACTTCTTCCATTAAACCCTACACTATTGATAGTATTTCAATCAGGATAATCCCTGACACTTGGCTTCATGATATTCAGTAAATTAATTTGATCTGGATAATTAAAACAGTATACATAAGTATGTTAATTACACTGAGTCATATTTACTGAGTAATTTTGCAGAGTTTCTTACCACCTAATAAGCATACCCTTTTTTAAACATAAAAATATAGACGACTTCACTTTTCATTAAAGCTTTGGACACTGCACCAAGAGTGTTTTGCCATTCTTACCTATTTTGAGGTTTCTCCTTCATGGCTTGCCCTCCCTCTTGCTTTTCTCCAGACTCTTAGAAATTGTATGTGCTTGAGGATGGTGCCATGATAGTTTCTCTCCTTGTTTTGTTGAATTTTTTTGTTAGTATGTGATATAACTAGGATTTAATATCACATTTCAGAGTAGATATAACCCGGTACTATGATACAATCCATCACAAAAATTACTTTCACATTTTATATATCTTACTCCAAGAAATCTTTAAACTCAAATTTCTTTAAAGGTGTTAATTTGATACTGAGATATCTGTACTTGAAGAGAATATATTTTTCTTCCATAGATAAAAACAAATCTATATTAAATACAACAAACATTTGTTTCAACTTGTGCAGCAATAAAGTTGTCCCCAAACAACATTAGACTAAATTTATATTTTGCCAAAAGGGAAAAAAGTTAACCAGTATTAAAATTGGCGATTAGGACTTGTACCTAAGTTTTTCTTATGGCTAATTTAGTTTTTAAAATAAAGATTGTCCTATGGGTACATAAAAAGCTTTTTAGTTGGAATTTGTGTTAAGAGAAAAGGGAACGTTCACAGTAACACATGAATGTTTTTCACAGTTCAGATGATGTTGATTATCGTGGTTCCACTACAACTCTTTATCAACCCAGTGCAACATCCTATTCAGCAAGTCAGGTGCATCCACCTTCATCTCTGCCATGGCTGGGCAGTGGACAGACTAGCACTGGAGCTAGTGTGGTATGTTATTTACTTATAGGTATCATTTCTGGATTTGGACTCTCTGAAAAATCAGTTGGAATCACTTTGACATAGGAATGATCCTAAAGTTCAGGGACAAATACCAGTAGATAGGCCATGGTAATGACAGCTGACATTTATTGTGGCTTTTTTATTTGGAGACAGGGTCTAGCTCTGTTGCCCAGGCTGGAGTGCAGTGGTGCAATCTCGGCTCACTGCAGTCTTGACCTCCTGGGCTCAATTGATCCTTCTGTCTCAACCTCCCAAGTAGCTGGGACTACAGGTGCATGCCAGCACACCTGGCTAATTTTTGTATTTTTTGTAGGGATGGCATTTCACCATGTTGTCCAGGCTGGTCTCGAACTCCTGGGCTCAACTGATCTACCCGCTTCAGCCTCCCAGGGTGCTAGGATTACAGGCATGAGCCAGCTCACTGGCCTCATACGACTTTCTTAGTGCCAGATGCATGCTTTTTCTCACAACAATCCTAGGTGGTAGGTGCTATTATTATGCTCCATTATCATTTTATAGATGAATAAACAGATACAAAATGGTAAAGCAAAGTTAAAGGGGAATTCATGTCTACTTCTAAGTGTTTGAAAGCACGTCAGTAACGTTCTTGTCACTGTAGCTGGAGGGGTCCCATTCTCATGTTCTGCTCTGAAGCATCTGGAGGTGCTCCTGAATGTCCTCAGGGAGGAGCACTTGAGGAAGAGTTCCTTTATTATGAGATGAAGCTCCTTGGTAACCTCACAGGCCAGGGCTGTACCAGCAAGTGTCTGCTTCCTCAGCCTCTTCGGACAGTTGTTCTATGTGGTGGTTCGGAACATCCATAACAGGCTTTATCTCAGAAATAAGCAGGGCGTAAGAGAATAAATGTCAGAATTTATCCTGAAGCATATCCTTCCTCATCTCTTCTGAATACACAAAATAAAAATTTTAAAATTTTCTTTTAAAGCTTATGAAAAGGAATCTACATAATGTTAAGAGAATGACTTCACACCCAGTCCATCAATACTGTAAGTATTTATGACCTAATAATTGTAACTGTCCTCATTTGGAGGTTGATTTATAGAATAGAGAATATTGGAACTCTTTAATTTCCTATTTCCTGCTTTTTCTCTTGTGTTTCAGATCTTACAGGTGCTCAGGACGGCAGTGTACGAATGTTTGAATGGACGCGACCTCAGCAACTTGTCTGCTTTCGTCAAGCTGGCAATGCAAGAGTTACTAGATTATATTTTAATTCACAAGGCAACAAGGTTAGTTTCTGGGGGCTTCTGCTAAATTCATCTGAAAATAATTGTGGATATTTAAGGAGTAAGTGATAAAAGTACATTGAAAAATGAATTCATTGACCCTGGATTTAAACTGAGCAGGCAGTTTTTTTGTGTCTATTCATATACTCTCTTTTCTTCCAATAGAAGCAAAAATCTACAAAATTTAGTATGGATTGATCATCTATTTAAAGATACTAAATATACTGTGAGAGTAAAAAAACTGCCTCTGTTGAGTGTGTTGGTGATTCCTATAAGCACAGTCAAGTTCTTGAGAGGAAACCTAGTTTCTTACTAAATTTCGTCAGTGAGAGGTTAGAGGAAAACAGTGAAACAGGTAAGCAGTTAAGAAGTGACGGAAGGGCCAGGCACAGTTTTTCACACCTGTAATTACAACACTTTAGGAGGCCAAGGCAGGAGGATTGCTTGAACTCTCCAGCATTTGAGGCAACCTGAACAACAAAGGGAGGCCGCATCCCTACAAAATTTTTAAAAATTAGCATAGGCATGTGCCTAGTCCTAGCTACTCAGAAGGTTGAGCCTGGAGGATCCCTTGAACCCAGGAGTTTGAGGTTATAGTAAGCTATAATTGCACTACTGCACTCCAGCCTGGGTAACAGAGTGAAACCCTGTCTCAAAGAAAAAAAAAAAGTGACAAGGAATTTTTAGCACTTGGACTTTTTGGGAATGACAGCAACAGAAACATAGTTAGGGGCAGAATATTTGTTTAGTAGGGCCTTAGTGAATCATCTTTCCATGTTTTTACCTTTGCTGTGGATGCTAAGAACATGTGTTTAGCAGTTATACTGTTCTTACAGTGTGGTGTTGCGGATGGAGAGGGTTTTCTGAGTATCTGGCAAGTTAACCAAACTGCATCAAATCCTAAACCTTATATGGTAAGTATCACTAATGTTTCCAGGGAGCATATAGACAACACTTTGTTTGTTCATGAAGTGCCCATTTCAGACAGTGAATCTCATTGGTGGTCCTACTGGGAAAAGGATGATCTTGTTCAGCAATCCCAGCCTAACAGCAGCACCCATCCTTACCCTAGTTTTAGACTGAAATGACCTGAAAAAAAAAAACCCTTGCTTTTCACCTTGAAGTGCAGTCATTATATTTTAAAAATTTCTGGGGCTCTCCCTGTATATGGTACAACTTGGGGTTTTTTATTATACTTTTATCCATTTTGAAAACTCTATCTTCTTAATATACACACCATAAAATTCTATCATTAAGAATCAGGTTCTGCCGGGTGCGGTGGCTCATGCCTGTAATCCCAGCACCTTGGGAGGCTGAGGCAGGAGAATCACTTGAATCCAGGAGGCGGAGGTTGCAGTGAGCCGAGATTGTGCCACTGCGCTCCAGCTTGGGCAATAGAGTGAGACTTCGTCTCAAAAAAAGAATCAGGTTCCAAACATCTATTCCAATTTGTTCCAGAATTGTGCTTACCAGATTATAAAATAGCCAATCCCAGTGAGCCACCTTATTAATCCAAATTGGACTACAAAATACTTGGTGATGAAGACAAGTAGATCTTTACCTGATGGAGATACGGTGGGGGAAGGGAACACGGGAGAGGGTGGAAGGTGACACTGTCTTGTGTGAAACTTCAGGCTTCACATATATGCAGGGAGGTTCAGGAAGCCTTGAACCTCTTGGGACCAGATAGATTACCCAGATACTTTAAACAAGTTTTCTAAACTATAGATATGTTCTTAATTATATGTATAAGATATTTCTCTTAAATTAGTATAGTATAGACTGTACCTTGTCTATGCAAAAATGGAAGTAATCTTGAATTTATACTTTTGTCTTCAGTCAGATCTGCACCACTCTAATTCCAGACAGAAAAGCATGCATTATATGTTTTAAAATACCTTGACGTCCTAAGACTAGTTGGGTCTGTAAGCATTTCCTTTGTGGCTTATTATTAAAGCTTATTACATGTATTTGAGATCATTAGCACTAAAATTGACAGGGCTTAGGTAGGTTCATGTACTTTGATGTCCTATTCTTACATAATCTAAAAAACATGACCTCTAATTCTGTTTTTACCAACTCCAGTTATTAAAAATTATTGGACAGTAGCCAAATATACACATGGTTAACCCTCGTACTACCGCTTATTCTTTTATTCTAGACCGAGTTTTTAAAAACTGTTCTTAGCTCATGCATATAGTATGTTATTAGCAGACTATGTTAGTACTGTATCAAATTTTATCTGATGATAAAATAACATCAGTTGCACTTTGTTTTTCGTAGAGTTGGCAGTGCCACAGTAAAGCCACAAGTGACTTTGCATTTATTACCTCTTCAAGTCTAGTTGCCACATCTGGACACTCCAATGACAATAGGTAGGTTGACAGAAAAGCAAAGCAAGAAATATAAAAATGTTAGAAAAGCATTCTTGCTAAAAGTATGGATTTCTATTGGTAGGATTTTTCCACTCTAGGCATTTTTAAAAAAAAAAAAAAACTTTGTTACATAATTCTTATTTCAGAGTGTTTTTTCTTACCAAAAGGAGTAAAGCAAAAATGAAAGTTATTCCTAATATGTGTAATTTTTATTTTAAAGCTATTCAGTCTTTTTAAAACTACTACTGTTAACACTGTTAGTTTCTCCAGGCCTAACAAGCATCTGATACTGTCACCATCATTTTCAACATTTTTATTTTATTGTAGGAGGTTTGGGGGAATAGGTGGTGTTTGGTTACATGGATAAGTTCTTCAGTGGCAATTGCTGAGATTTTGGTACGCCCATCACTTGAGCAGTGTACACTGTACCCAATGTGTAGTCTTTTATCCCTCACCCTCCTCCCACCCCTCCCAAGTCCCGAGAGTCCATTATATATCATTCTGATCCTTTGCATCTTCATAGCTTATCTCCCACTTACAAGTGAGAACATATGACACATGATTCTCCATTCCTGAGTTACTTCACTTAGAATAATGGTCTCTAACTCCATCCAGGTTGCTGCATATGTGATTATTTCATTCCTTTTTATGAAGTATTCCATGGTATATATGTACCACATTTTCTTTTTCCACTTGTTGGTTGATGGACATTAGGTTGGTTCCGTAGTTTTGCAGTTGTGAATTGTGCTGCTATAAACTGGAGTGTGCAAGTGTCTTTTTCATATAATGACTTCTTTTCTTCTGGGTAGATACCCAGTAGTAGGATTGCTGGATTGAATGGTAGTTCCACTTATAATTCTTTAAGGAATCTCCATATACTGTTTTTCATAGTGGTTGTACTAGTTTACATTCCCACAGCAGTGAAGTGTCCGCTTTTCACCACCTCCATGCCAATATCTATTATTTTTTGGTTTTTTAATTATGGCCATTCTTGCAGGAATAAGGTAGTATCGTATTGGAGTTTTAATTTGCATTTTCCTGGTAATTAGTGGTTTTAAGCCTTTTTTCATGTTTGTTGCCCATTTGTATTTTGAGAATTGTCTATTCATGTTCTTGGCTCACTTTTGATGGGATTTTTTTGTTAAGTTCCTTGTAGATTCTAGATATTAGTCCCTTGTCAGATATATGCATTGTATTTTCTCCCCACTCTGCGGGTTGCCTGTTTACTGTTGCTGTGCAGAAGCTTTTTATTTTGATTAGGTCCTATTTATTTTTGTTGCATTTGCCTTTGGGTTCTTGGTCATGAATTCTTTGTCTTAAGTCAATGTCTAGAGTAGTTTTTTCGATGTTATCTTCTAGAATTTTTATGGTTTCAGGTGTTAGATTTAAGTTTGATCCATCTTGTGTTGATTTTTGTATACGGTGAGAGATGAGGATTCAGGGACTAACAGGCATTTGACACTGTCCCCATCATTCTCAACATTTATTTTGACCTCACATAGTTTTCATTAGCAACACGTGCCCAGGAAAAACATCTCGTTTCCCTACAGTGGCTACCACCTGGGGATATAAAAGCATTCCTTATACTCAGGAAGTCATATCAGTTTCCTGGAGTGATAATGGAAAGGAGATGGGGTAGAGGATGCAGAGACAGGCAGGACCATATAAGATGGAACTGTGGAGTTTGTCCCTACCTCCATCCTAGTTGGGAATCACTGGTCTCTATAGGTGTGAGTGAACAAAAAAGATAAGAATGAATAAGCAAAATATTTTATTGAAAGACAGGTTGTCCCTGGTGATGACTTAGAACAATTGTTTATGATATATTTTTGTTATTGTGTTTCTTTAAAAGAAATGTTTGCCTCTGGGACACATTAATATCACCCGGAAACAGCCTCATTCATGGTGAGTTAAGGTCTATGATTTTTAAAAATATACCATGAAGGAATAATACACCATGAAGGAATGCTTTCTTGTTTTAATTAGTGAATCCAGTGAGTGTTTATTGTCAGGTTGAAAATGGAGAAATACTTAATTAGCATATCTGGCTTTCTTGCTGAGTTAAAGATATATGGTCTCAGAAATCCAAAATAGTCTTTATATTGTATTCTATTCAGAAAATATGGTATGGATAGTGGTACTACTAACAAGGCTATTTAAGAGATTAGTTGCAAAGTATTCATTGAGCTTAATAGAAAAGAACATATTTTAAAGAATTGAACCTAATCATAAAATACATTTTGTCTTTTTTTTCCTTTTTGTGGAGAGCAAGGACTCACTGTATTGCTCAGACAGGTCTCAAGCTCCTAGGCTCAAGCTATCCTCCCACCTCTGCCTCCCTAAGTACTGGGATTAGGGGCATGAGCCATCACACCTGGCCCTAACCATAAAATAAAACAAAGGTTAACCTTATGATAAAGACAGTACTTGCCAAATTAGTGTCCTAACTCTGTCTTCCACATAGTACCACCCAAAAAGTGCTCCATGCTCAAGTAAGTTTAGTTAAATGAAGTAAATTGTTTTACAGAAAGATTCTCAGTCTTTTATATGCATTTTGAAAGATGTCGTTACTTCTCAATTTTATTGCAGAATTCTGTGAACAGTGGTTAACATTGCTTACAGATTTTCTACATGTTAATTTGAATCCTTAATCATATTAAAATGCAAATACTCCTGGGAAGGATAATTTCTTAACTTGTAACTGAAAACATTCACACATTTCCTCATCGTGTTGTTGTGATGAGAGAACATGTACGGTACAGCACTTGGTTGGGTTAATACTCACCAACTCTGAGAAGCTTGGTCTCTGCTGTTCTGTATACTTTTTATGAGGCAGTATCACTTAGGGCTTAAGGTTTAAACTTTCTTTTTCTCTCTGTGTTCATTTCACATTGAGATTATGGATAAAAGATTTGTTCTGATATTGCTTAACGTTTTTCTTTAATCATATGATTACAGAAATTCAGTGACTTACAAAACAATAAATTGTTCCTTAGAATGAAAAATGCATCAGTAATTTCTGTATTTAAATGTGGATTTAGACATCATAGTTACCAAGATAAATTGTTTTGAGAAAATCTCTGACGTTTTTCTTCTTCAGGTTTCACATGCCATGATCATGGTGCCACAGTACTTCAATATGCACCCAAACAGCAACTCCTGATCTCAGGGGGTAGGAAAGGACATGTCTGCATTTTTGACATTAGGCAAAGGCAGCTCATTCACACATTCCAGGCCCATGACTCAGCTATTAAGGCTCTGGCCCTGGATCCCTATGAGGAATATTTTACCACAGGTTCAGCAGAAGGTAACATAAAGGTGAGTCAGTACAAGAGGTTGGAATGTGCTAAAGACTGATTGGAAAGAGAAAAAACAAAAACTCCACATTCTTTGAAATAAAACTTCGTGGAGATACCAAATGTCTCAACACTCTACCGCCTCCCTATGCTTCTGTATGGTTCTTTCTAAACTGTTCTGGTCAATGAGATTATCAAACTCTTTGGACTTAGGTCATTAGAAAGCTTTAAAGCATTCTATTTTGAGTAAAGTATATGAGTTTAATACATGAAAATTTTTGATGACATTAGTTTGGCTTCTTAGAAGCTTCTCCTCTCTCCTTCAGTACTCTTGTGTGTGGCGGAGGTGGCATTTCCGTTAAGTGAGCTAGCGCAGATGCTCCTTGACTTACAGTGGGAGTATGTCCCGACAAACCCATTATAAGTTAAAAATATCGTTAGGTTGAAAAACATACTTTCAACTTAATATTTTCAACTTACTGTGAGTTTATTGAGACTAACATCAGGATAAGCCAAGGAGCATACTGAATGCGTATTGCTTTCACACTGTCATAAAGTCAAAAAGTCTTAAGTCACACCATCGTAAGTAGGGAACTGTCTGTACCACACTACTTTTACATAGTCTTAGGGCCTAGCTCAGCATGAGGAACACATTTAACCGAATTAACTCAAACAGTTAATTGAATTAGAGACGGGCTACATATGGTTAACATGAAACTATGAGAGGATGTGAAGAAAAATGTGAAAGGAGGACAATAAATGTATCGTGGGAGTGATATTATTTCCCACTGAGATAAGCTCTTAGGAAAGAGGCAGTGGGTGGAAAGGTTGGGCTTTAGTGAGATCACTTGGACCAAGGGAGGAGAAGGGCCATGTTTTTGCTTTTGGTCTTTTCGTAATGTATTTTTAACTCTTTGTTTTGCACCAGGTTTGGAGATTGACAGGCCATGGCCTAATTCATTCATTTAAAAGTGAACATGCTAAGCAGTCCATATTTCGAAACATTGGGGCCGGAGTCATGCAGATTGACATCATCCAGGGCAATCGGATCTTCTCCTGTGGTGCAGATGGCACGCTGAAAACCAGGGTTTTGCCCAATGCTTTTAACATCCCTAACAGAATTCTTGACATTCTATAGATTTAAAGATTGGGGTTTTATTTTTATATCCATTTCAATTAAAAGGCACAGTACAGTAATCACTAGTCAATTCTGCTTTCTAAGCAGTTAACATTGAAAACAGAGAATCTCTGTGTAGAATTCGAATATGACCCAAGCTGAGTATTATCTATACAGGTTGGTGGAATGAATGTGCATGTACCTTATTATGCTGACATACTAAAAAAATAAAACCTAGTATTGTATGAAGGATAGCTATTCTTTACAGCATTTAGCAAACCTGATTCAAAAAACATTTGAGATTAGCAAATTAGTAACTTGAAATAATGAAAAGGACGTTTATACCAAATTAAGGAAGAAAATGTTGCTGATTCGGGTTTTTCTTCCTGTTCTTACCACTGACTGCACTGACTGAAGCATGCCTGCAGTCTCCTCCTCTTTTGAATGAAGGATAATCATAAGGTGTTAGGAGCGCTAGACCACCAGGAAAACTTTCTTAGCTGTGGAGCAGTGCGCGGTGACCAGTTCTCTGCTGGAAGAGGTTATTTCCATTCTTTCCTGCTGAATATTTTTCCTGTTAGTGTTTATACTGAGCTAGTACTGTAACTTGCAAATGAGTGCAAATTTAAATGCAATGTTTTCCTCACAATTTGCACATTTACATTTTTTGGACTGCTAGTTTTTCTATTTAAATATTTGCCTTCATGTTAGGAATGTACTATGTGAACATGACATATTTGTAGTTAACCAAACACACCTTCTTAGTCCAGTTTAGTACGTTTTCTTTTCGTGTATTCAAAGTTAAACACCCACAACATTTAAGGATATGTTGAAACTACACCAATAGAGCATTTCATACCATAATTAAAATGAATGTTAGGCTTCTTGTGGCCAGTTAATAGTTGATGAGATTGGTGATATTATTTATTGCCACAGCCTATTGTATAAACTATGCAGAGTTAAATATTTGCTTGTAAAATATTAGCCAATGTTGTCATTACTTTGATGTATTTCCTTGGTTATGACCAAAAGTATGTTGATATACTGAAACTAATGTCTGTGTGTTTAAATGTTTACCAGCAAATTGTCTTATGTTAATGAGAATGTTTAATGCCTGTGGTAAATAGTAAATACAATGGCATAAAAGTAACTTTCTCTGAAGATGATGTGATGTTCAGGTTGTGAAATATGTATGTAAAAGAAAAATAAATGTTATTTGTTAGAGTTTTATTTTAGTTTGGTCTGTTTAAATAGACTGCTCTGGCATTCTTTGATACTGTTTTTGACAGTTGAGATTTTTAATTGGATAAAATGTTTTAACTGTTAGAGACTTTGCAAGCCATTAGGCAGTTTATTCATTCGTAAGTATTTACTGAATACCTTATATACCAAAGCCATTCTAGGAAATGGGATACAGTGGAGAGCCAGACAGAGAAAGCACACAATGTTGAGATTTAGTTGGGCAAGAGCTAACCTCACTATACCTTCTCCAGACAGATTTGAAGTTTATTGCATGAAGTACTAACCTTATACCCAAAACTCAAATCTGAGTCTTGGCTCTTTGTTTGCTCCTAAGTAAGGGAGGTCAGAATATGCCCATTGACAAGAACAGTCAGGAAAATGAGCTTGTGAGAGACATCTCAATGCCTAAAGGAAAACTGGCTCAAAGGAGCTTTCAGAAAAAAGGGAAGAGAACTTTCTCTGTCAGATAAAAGCAGTAAGAGACTCCAGATTCACCTTCTAGCTTGAAACAACTAAAAGAAAAAAAGAACACAAAATATATAAACAATGGTTCTCAAGGCATTAAGCATCAGGTAGGGAGTGACTGATCCCTGAGAGGTGAGCATTTTAATTGTCCCAACTTACCACCTTGAGAAAGTTTCTAGGCCACAGGCAGGAAGAGAACCCAGGCAGAGCTTAATGGTCTCTCCAAGTTGCCAAGATAGAACTGCAAGTCTGGGGAATAGAATGTGGCTAGAGTCTGCAGGCCAAAGGCAACAGAGCTGCATAGGGAGAGGTGCACAAAAGGTCTGTGTTAGTCTGTTCTCACACTGCTATAAGGACATACTTGAGACTAGGTAATTTATAAAGGAAAGAGATTTAATGGACTCATAGTTCCACATGGTTGAGAAGACCTCACAATCATGGCAGAAGGAAAAGGAGGACCAAAGGCACATCTTACATGGTGGCAGGTAAGAAAGCATGTTCAGGGAAACTGCCCTTTATAAAAATCATCAGATCTCGTGAGACTTACTATCACGAGAACAGCATGGGAAGAATCTGCCCTCATGATTCAGTTACCTCCCACTGAGTCCCTCACACAACACTTGGGGATTATGGGAGCTACAATTCAAGATGAAATTGGGTGCAGACACAGTCAAACCACATCAAGATCCTCCTCAATATTTGAGCTGAAAAGGGGATCAGTGTATGTGTATGAGCAAACTACTGGCACCCAGGACAATAGCCATTGAAAGGGATTAGAGGTAACAATCTAGTCACACAAAGCTAGGAATTCAGCAGGCCCGCCTTATCTGTGGCTTTGCTTTCCGTGGTTTCAGTTACCTGTGGTTAACCATGGTCTGAAAATCGGTGAGTACAGTACAATAAGAAATTGAGAGAGGGAGAGACCATATTCACATAGCTTTTATTACTGTATATTAATTGTATTATTGTTGATCTTTTACTGTGCCTGATTCATAAATTACACTTTTTGAGACAGAGTCACTCAAGTCACCCAGGCTAGGGTGCAGTGGTTTGATCTCAGCCTCACTGCAACCTCTGCCGCCTTGGTTCAGATGATTCTCATGCCTCTGCCTCCCAAGTAGCTGGAAGCACAGGCATGTGCCACCATGCCTGGCTAATTTTTGTATTTTTAGAAGAGATGTGGTTTCACCATGTTGGCCAGGCTGGTCTTGAACTCCTGACCTCAAGTAATCTGCCTCCCTCAGCCTCTCAAAGTGCTGGGATTACAGGTATGAGCCACCATGCCTGGCCTAAACTGTATCATACGTATATATAGAAAGGAAAACACATATATAGGGTTCGTTACCATCTGCAGTTTTAAGCATCCATCCACTGGAGTCTTGGAACATCTACCCTTGTAGATAAGGTGGGGGGACTACTGTCATTCATATTCTCACGAACCAGCTGGAAAACCTCATAATTCATGGGGCATTAGGTAGTACTCTCAAGGATTTTGCTGCAGTAGCAAGACAAAATTAGTCCTAGGATAAACACTATCATGGTCCTGCCTAAAAACACTAAAAAGGAAATGACCAAATTGTTTCCCAAATAGCTAAATTTTATCTGAGGACATAGCTCCAGAATATTTGTAGGAATACAAAAATGTCCAACACTCAACAAGGTAAAACTCACAATATTTGACATTAAAAAAAAATGCATGAAAACTAGGTAAATACAAACCATAATGAGGGAAAACATACATCAAAACGGATCTAGAAATAACACAGATGATAAAATTAATAGCATTATAACTATTTCATGTGTCCAAGAAGCTAGAGAAACAATTCAATGTTAAGAAGAGACAGGGAAGACACACAGATTCAAATCAAACTTACAGAAATGAAACCTATAATGTTTGAGATAAAAAAATAAACCGGATTCACAGCAGATTAGACATTGCAGAGAGAAAAATTAGTGAATATGAAGGCACAATAGAAACTATCCAAAAGGAAACACTTTTAAAAAACACTGGAACCAAGTAACGCCAGTGAGCTCTGGGACAACTTTGAGCATCCTAATGTATGTGTAATTGGAGTCCCTGAGGGAGGAAGGTAAAGAAAAAATAAAATAATGGCCAAATATTTTCCAGTTTTGATTCAACCACAGATCCAAGAGGTTTAATGAAACTCAAGCACAGGAAACAAGGAAAATACAGCAATACTCATCACAATCAAATTGCTTAAAATTAGTGATAAGGGAAAAATGTTAGGATCACAAAGAGAAAACAGACACATTGCATACATAAGAACAAAGGTAAGGATGACAGCAGATTTATTTCAGGAACAATGCAACCCAGAAGAGTGGAGCAACATCTTTAAAGTACTGGAAGCAAAAAAGCTGTCAATCTAGAATTCTTTGCCCAGTGAAAATACCTTTCAAAAATGAAGTTTATAAGACATGAAAAGGGTAAAATAATTCATCGCCAGCAAATCTGCACTATAAGAAATATCAAAGGAATATAAAGAAAGTTTCTCAATCAGAAGGCAAAATGATACCAGATGGAAATACAGATCTATTCAAAGGAATAAAGAGTACCAGCAATTATAACTACATAAGTAAATTATATAAAGACGTTTCCTCATTGTTTAAATCTCTCCTAGACAATTGTTTAAAGCATAATAAGTAAGGCCAGTCATGGTGGCTCACGCCTGTAATCCCAGCAATTTGGGAGGCCAGTTGGGGTGGGGGCGGATCATCTGAGGTCAGGAGTTCAAGACCAGCCTGGCCAACGTGGTGAAACCTTGTCTCTACTAAAAATACAAAAATTAGCCAGGCATGGTGGTGGGCATCTGTAATCCCAGCTACTCAGGAGCCTGAGGCAGAAGAATCGCTTGAACCTGGGAGGTAGAGATTGCAGTGAGCCGAGATTACACCACTGCACTCTAGCCTGAGTGACAGAGCACAACTGTCTCAAAAAAATTTTAAAAAGCGTAAGTAATAATGTATTGTGTGTATATGTACAGGTAAAACATATGACATCAGCACAAAGGCCAGGAGAGGAGAACTAGAAGTATACTGTTGTAAGCTTCTTACACTATATGTGAAGTGATATATCACTTAAAGTTAGATAAAAATCTACAGTATAATTAGTTTGGGGAACGACATCAGCAAGATAGCAGAATGGGACTTTCCAATGCTCACCCCTCACAGAAACACCAATTTAAAGAACTATCCATGCATGAAAATACACTCACAAGAGCTAAGGAAACCAAATGAGAGATTACAGCACCTGAATGTTGCACAGAAATGAGAAAAGACGCTGTGAAGAGGATAGGAAAGAGTTTTACAAAAAGGACCCATGCCACCCTCCCTCCAACCCTGGGTAGAATGACGTGGAGAAAGATACCTTCCGCATGCAGGATAGAGAGGGAGGTGAGCACCAGAATGATACCTCGGACCCCAACACCATGCCTGCTCCAGTAAAACCCAGTGCTAGACCCCTATTGCCCAGATTTCAGGCCAGTACCCGCAGACTGAGCCTCTAAGCCCATCTAAGTAGCAGGCAGGTTCCTGCAGCCCCAGGCCCCTCACTGGACTTCGTTTCTGGGCCCGATTTCTAGGCTTGCCTCAGCAGCCCCAGGCTCTGGAACGGTTCCAATGCCAGGCCAAACACCGCAGTCAGGCTCCAGGATGGCCCCGAGGACTCAGTCCTCAGATCCATCCAGTGACAGGCAGACCCTACTGGATCTAGGCTCCGGACAAGACCCCATGGAGCTGCCTGCAGGCCTACCTTGGTGCCAGTGGACTTATTCTCTCAGACCTACCCCAGGGCTGGGTTGTCCCCAGTGGCTCCATGCTCCAGACTGTTCCCAGTGCTGGGCTGGCCTCTATAGCCCTGGGCTTCAGGCTCCCTCCAGTGTTGGGCCAGTCCCTGCAGCCCTAGTCATCAATGGGACACCCATGGACCCTAGCTCCAGACCTGCCCTAGCACCAGTTTAGCACTTGCAGCCTCAGGCTCCAGACTATTCTCAGGCTCCAGGCCTGTCCCACTGCCAGGATGGCCCCAGTGACCTGAGGGCTCCAGACTGCCCACAACACCCGGCTGGCACCAGCAGCCTCAGGCTCCAGGCTGGCCCTGCAACCCCAGACTCCAGACCAGCCTTCGTAGACCTGGTTTCCAGGTCCTCCCCAGCCTCAAGCCACAATTCACAGGACCCAGCCTCCAGCCAGCCCTTGCAGACCAGGGACCCAGTCTGCCCCAGTGCCAGGCTGGGCCTACACAACCCCAGACTTCAGGCTAGTACATGCAGACCCATCCTGTAGGCCTGCTCCAGCACTAGATTGGCAGCCATTGACCCCAGTACCAGGATGGCCCTGGCAGTCCGAGCTCCAGAGCAGCTCAGTGCAGGCTGGCCCACATAACCCCAGGTTTCAGGCCCACCCCAGCACCAGGTAGACACACCTGGCCTCAGGCACCAGATTGACACTTGCTGCCTCAGGAACCAGTCTGTGTTAGCTCCAGGTTGGCCTTTGCAGTCCCAGAC